GTGACAAGGGGCAAGCCAGGCCCTGCCAAGTATTTGTTTTTATTTTGTAATTTTTTTGGCTAACTGTTGTTGCTGCCTGGACTTTTAATATTTAAGCAAGCCAGTCAGCCAGCCCAGCGAACAGCGAATGAGTCTGGCCGACTAACTGCTTACAGCAATAGCAACACCAACAGCAGCAGAATACACACACGTGCCCCAAAAACTTTTTTTGTGGCACTGCAACAACTTGCTACACCTCGTGCATGGATGGATCGCCTGGCAGACTCGGTGTGCGAACAAGGAGTTGCTGGTTGCTGTTGCTTTTTTCAACAAAGTTGCCACCACCACAGCTGGCCCCAGGCGACAGAGTTGTCCTCTGCTGTTGCTGCTGCTCCTTTACGGTTCAGCTCACTTGTCCTGTCTATCGACCAATGTGTTGCATTGGTCAAGAATATAATTACAAAGCTATACAAATTGCACAATACCAATATATCTGGTATTTTGGCAACTGTGCACACATAAATATCTATGAGTGAAAAAAAATTTGTATTTGAGTAATTGTTGTTTAGTCCGATTGAACTTCATTATAAACAATTAAATATATTTGTTCTTGCTGAGACTTCATTGAACATTTTTTTTTACATATTTATCCTTTTTTTTGTTGTACAAATTCCAAAACATTTATCTAGAATTATAGGTTAAATTACAGGTGATTGCAAAACAATTTTATTACAATTAAAATAAAATACTTGTGACAGATTTTTTTGAATATATTTATATCAAAAAAAAAAAAAAAATAGAAAATAATAATTTGACCTATCTATAACTTCTAGCTGCTTACGGATATATTTCAAATTAATTAATAGATTTATATGTTGTACGCGAGTAGATGAGGGTCATATACGGTTTTAATTTGTCGAAATTATGAATACTTCAATTATTATATTAAATAAGTAATTGAAAGGGTATTTTGGGTTTTAAGCTTGAACTGGAAGTCTCAGGTGACTTAATTTTAATAAAATAAACGCAACATTTAGCATCAAAAATTTGTTCTTGTCTTGCGCTAAAAGTATCTTATTTTCAGCCACAAGAAAATAGCATCAGGACAAAAGAAAAGGATATGCTTCCGCTGTACTCACCAAAAGAATAACCTTTCCCCTACACACATACGTACCACCTTCTGTGCGTGTGTGTGTGTAGGTGTGCGTAAGTAAGTTATTTGCTAAGCTGCACATAAATAACTTTCAATAGATGCTTAATAATTAAATTATAACTTTTTAACAAAGAAGAGCTCAACTCCTTTGAGGCTGGCAGTGTTCTGGCTTTGCCCCAAAAAGTACGATTGGTGGGAGGGCGTGTTCAGTCCAGTGTCTTGGCCAGTTTGATGTGTTGCGGTTGCCATTTGTAGTTTGATTAATTAATGAATGCGGTCAGTGAAAAAAGGTTAGTTGAAAAGTGGCGTTATGGTCAAAGGGTTTGATTTTCAACATGTACTATATAACAAGGATATATACTGCTTGATGTAATAGCACTTCATCAATAAGACGATAGCATTTTGGTCGACTTAAGAGCCAATTGTCCAATTGAACGTTGGTTTAATTGAGTGTTTGATTTAATTATGGACCATTTAAATGCCGCGGTACGCTATGCTGTTGCTGTTGCATCATTAAGCATTGATTACGCAAGCTGATTAATTAGTTGCCAGCCCCACACTCACACACACGCACACAGGCACTTGTACACCTGGACAGCTGTACGCACGCACACATATGTCTCCTATGATAGTGCTGCAAAGTGCGTCTAATTATATAATTGTTTGTTTGGTATTTAAATTTTAGCAACAAGCAAGAGTGCGTGGGTGGGCCTTGCTCGGCTAGGAGATGCCATGTACTAAGCGTTAAGGAAGCCCGAGAAATAGATAAATAGTTATTTATCGAATGTTCCAGAATAGAAGAGTCGTGTTTTATGGGCGAATTTGATAAACGAATCGAATGCTTTTAATTGAGAAAAGCCCTGCATATACAGGCCGATATTTTCATCAATTTAAAGAAATAAGAAAGAACATTTGTATATCCCCTTCATGCTTTATATAATTTTCCTTTGAATGCACTCTAAATATCCACTTAGCTACTTATGGGGTATAATTTTTTACTTTTTTTTAACGGATCGCAAGATAACGGGGTATCCTCTTAATATTTGCTATTGAGCTATTGCTCACAAGAATTGTTCTACGACCTTATATGGCATTAACTATATCGTACTTTGCGCATTTAAAATGCAATTTGTAAGGCATACAGCATGTGAATCGAGTCAACTTTTAATGATAACACGCCTAACAGCGCTTAGCCATTAACTTTCTCCACTCGTCAGACAGTAAATCCTTCAGTCAGTTTGTCAGTCATTCATTTCATCAGTGTGTGCGTGCGTCAGTCGCTGGCCACGAAAACCGCCGCCTCATGATTTAAATTTAATGTAACTTTTGCTTTACAGCCAAACTGTCGCTGGCAATGGCAACAACAACATCCACAGCAGCAACAGCTAACGTAAAAGCTATAAAGTCATGTGCAACAGCAGCGCCACATCCGGCGGTTCGGGACTCAGGAGTCAGGACTTTTGCCAGCTATTTGGTCACTGCACTTAGTGCACTTCCTTTGCTCACACCAGCAACAACAACAGCAACAACAACAACAACAACTCATCACATTGCTGGTGTTTCAGCGGACTTTCGGTTGGGAGTGTCTGGAGGGGAGAGTAGGGGTTTTTTTGGGTTTTCTGATGAAATGCCATGCTTAGCGGTTGAGCGTTGAGATTTTCCAGCAGCTGAAGCCCCTGGACACATCAGTCGCCACACGACGTGGGATGTAACCATGGGTGCCATATGCTCTATATCCATTTGTGTGGGTCTATCCATGTGTGTGTGTGTTTGGAATTTTGGTTAGTTTTACTTAATGTTCAGGCATGAGCACATCTTTTTGTGCGAAGTATACCATATTAGAGCACAAAGTAAATTCTTATGGGGGCAGCAAGGGTGCTTATTTTCTTGATTAGCTAGCTGTGCTCTTCAATTTTTAATTGTTTCTCCCTGAACACAGCCTGCAACCGAACGATGAAAAGGTTAAAGGCTAATCAAACGACATATTAAGAAAAAAACTCAAACGACCCACGCAGTTGAGCTTATTTGAGTGGTATAAGAGCTAAACCGTTACGTACCGCTCCAAAGTTATAGTTCAAAATGAACACAATCCACAAAGTTGGGATCCACAGAAAAATATGATGCGCATGTGCGAGTTCGAAAACGCTGCGAGAGAGCGCAACGGCAGCTCGTGAGAACGCTCGGCTCGGCTGTGGCTGTGGCTTCGGCTCTTCTTATCGGGCCTCTTGTAAGCCGTACACGCGCCCATTGCCGTAACGGCGGCCAGTCGGAACTACATAGTACGGTAAATGTACTTTTTCGAAGCCATTTCGAATAAGCATAAAGAAAATCTTATTAATGAATGGGTGTCTTAGTAGCGCGAATGCGGCAAGTGCCAAAAGGAGGTACTGCAGGGAAGGGTAATATACTAACTGTAGATGTTAGAGATTGAAGTTTGAACATTAAACAGCCAAGAGGTTTTGATAATCTAAAATGAAATACAGAGTTATTGAGTAGCACATCTGCTCAAAGTTAAGTTAGGCCTTGTAACATACAGTTAAATGCAGGTCTGTTTCCAAAGTTTCTTTATTCTTAGCTGGCCGTAAAAACGTTTTTTCATATGTCAACAAATTAAAAAATATATTTTTTAAAGTACCTATATGCCCGATTTGTAGACCCTGTTCTTGGGTAAGGTCGTGTTCTTGTGTGCACGCAATGTTAAGGGCTCGCTTTGATGTAATTTTTGGTGCAGCATGCAACATAATTTTCGACTTGTGAACAGACAAGTTGCAGCTGCCGAGTGATATGTTTTCTCTTGGTGAGCGACAGTGAGCGTAAATCCATCGTGAGAGTGAGAGTCTGTAACATTATTGTGCGTTGTAATAGGTTCCACCCGAATTGTAATTTTGAATTGAGGTAGGCTAGAATTAAACCCAAACAGGCTTGGCGAAGCGTCACCAAAGCTAACTGTGTTTTAATCAAAATGTATGCTATTCTTGATTCAAAACAATAAACTTTGATAAAAAAGGATGGAATTTAGAAATCGGAGATAATAGAAAATTAACACTAGTTATACAAATATACTTTGACTTTAAAGTGAAGTTGGATATTATAAGTAAGCTCGAAAACGTTAAAAATTTGTATTTTCGAATTTGTATATATCATACGCTCATTAATTAAAACTACGAATTTTGCAGAGTTAAGAATAGTTTGTTGCAAGGCATTAACTAAATGCCTTAAATAATAAATTCTTATTGATGTTAACTTTTTATCGTTTTCTAAAGTGTTTTTTAAATTTAAGGCAATGTTCAATGCAATTATAATTTTTTCAAATGCATCTCAAAATGGGGCTTCCATAAATTTGATTTTAAAGAAATATTTACGTTTTAAATTTTTTGTTTATTAAAAGAATAATTTTTAGTTTCAGATGCATAAATGTTAATATAAGTGTTTTCTAGTAACTCTTCTTTTTGGCAGACCTCTGTGTCTTTTATATTCGACATTATTTTAAGCTTATTTGTAGATCTTTACGTTTAATCGCATTTTCATCATGCACTCAACGCTGTGAAGAACAACTCTCACTAAAGCTTACATTCCACAAACAACGCTCACTCAACACTGGTTACAGCGGGATACTCAAAGTTTCGTCAAGTTGCAATGTAAAGCGTGGCACACTTACAAGCGCCACCACCCCCATTGCTAGTGGTACCCACCCGCACACTGAATGCTCTCTCCCACTACACGATGCGATTCGCAACGTCGCTTAGTCGTGTTTTTCGAACTTGCGCGCGAGCCGAAGTCGATTGCGAGTCGGGCGAGGGCCACAGGCAGCGGCATAGCCAAAGCCGCGCGTCGTCCGCTCGAATTGCACGAATGGCAATGAATGAAAGTCGCTTAGTACTAAAAAGGTCGTGGATTTGTGTAGTTGTCGTGTGCGCTGCGCTGCGCTGTGTTTGTCGTGCCGTGTTCAACGCTCACAAAAGCACACACAGAGACTCCGTGTCAAAACTGTCGTCGCGTCTTTTTACCGTTAAAGCGTTAATCGCTCTACGCTGCTCTGCCCAATAGCCACAGAGTAATTTGTAAGTCGAGTGTGCGGAATCAGTGTTGCACAATCTCAAATAACCATAGTGATTAATTGTTGCATGTGTGTGTGGGTGTGTGTGTGCGAATGTGTGCGCGTGAGCGCCCGTGTCTCTGTGTCGTAGCAAGTGCACGTTCTAAAGCCAAACATTTCCTCCTTTCTTATACTTTTTCTCCGTGTTGTTATGCAAATAGCGTCTGTCGTTTCAGGCAACAACAATAACTGACTGTGCGTGCGCCAGAGTATGTGTGAGTGTGGGGCGCGCCCACAATGCATAAATCAAAATACACATTATTGAGTCATAAATAAAGTTCGCATCGCTTGCGCTTCGCTACTTTAAATAAAGCCGAGGGCATTGTACTCCCCAACCCGTAACGCCCCTCTATCGCTCGTGGCCGCCAAAGACTTTGCCATATTTTTTGCTCAATTGTTTGCTATTGATCCTCTTGCGCGCCGCCTCGCATCCGCGCTCCAACCGACCCATTTGCCTCGCCTGGCCAATTGATGATGCGTGCGTCTCGTTTGTTGCATAAAACTTGCTCAATGCTTACACGCCCTCAAAAGCAACAACAACAACAATATCAGCATCAAGCATAATAACAACAACAACTACGCGCAATACACGAGTCCCTCGGGCTGGTTTTATTACAAAGGCCGTAAAAAGCGCCCAAAAACAAAAATAAAAAAAATACAAACAAAAAGTAAGCGGAGTAAACGCCACTGAAAGGATACAACGCGGCTTCCAGTGTAAGTGCATGCATACAGCAGACAATATATATACATATATATATCTATATATATTTATATTTATTTATATCCATATTTTTAGCTACTCAAATATTCCAAATTATCCCATTTTCACCATATCGACAATGCTTCCGAATACGTATGTAGTACACAGACAGGCCTAAAGTGAAATATACTAGAGTAGAATAGAGACTAAAATATATTAGCTACAAATTGAGTGTTGAAAAGTGTTGCACAAATCCTTGCCACATTTTATTTGACCCATTTTATGCAGCATACTTTGAGCAGCACTTTAAGATTATTGTGATCTATGATCTTGATCAATACTACTAGCTGAGTCGATATAGCCATATCCATCTGGGCATCTGTCCGTTTCTTTGCCCACTTTCTTAGTTTTAAGTATATCTTGATAAAACTTTGCAAAGATGCGTATTTCTACTGCAGGCAGTGAACTTAACGGAGCTGTACCGATTGAAATACTATATCTCTATATATAAAACTGTTTGTCCTGACTGACTGACTGACTGATTGGTGATCAACGCACAGACCAAACCGTAAGAGCTAGGAAGCTGAAATTTTCACTGTAGCTACCTTATGTGATGTAGGTGCACGTTAAGACGGGGTTTCGGAAAATTCCACCCGCAAGTGTGGAAAAATCGCGAACAACGTTGGTATGTAACTTTTTTGTTTACCATCCGATCGGCCCCAAACTTATTTTCAAAGTTCTTTGTTCAAATTCATATATATATAGAGGGGTGTTTCACACTTTTCGAAAAATCCGTTCCTCCTTGGTGGAAATGGAGGTCAAAAATTTGGTGGGTGACGTTTCGCGCTCAAATTCGTTTCCAAAGATCTATAAGAAAAATCATTTGATACGTGTTTCACACTTTTCGCAGAATTCAAACTTCTTTGGGGGGAATGCGATTTGAAGATTTTTTGGGTGAAGTTTTAAGTTGTGTCCGATTTGCTTCAAACTTATTTTCAAAGCTCTACATAAGAATGTAATGAATACGTGTTTCAGCGATTTGGGAAATTCCACTCGCAACAGTGGTAAATTGGCGGAAAACGGTTGTATGAAAGTTATTTGTTTACCGTCCGATCAGTTTCAAAATCATTTCAAATTTGTTTGAGAACATTGATTTTATAACATACGTGCCACGGGCAAGGCCGGGTTATACCCGCTAGTCATTTATGTATACTTTTAACAAATATAAAGATTATACTATAGAAATAATATGATATAGTTCTCATAGGAAAAGTCGGCGAAAAAAGTAGTTGTTTTAGGAAAAATTTTTTGGTTTAAAGGTTATTTAACTCAGCCAAAACATATATCATATATCATTTATAAAAATAATTAGCTATTAAATCTTTATCAATGTAAGTGTTTTAAGAATAGGAATATTTACTTTAAAACCCGATAAAAGCTATTGATATTCAACCTTATTATTAAAATTGTATATTGCTTATATTTTCAACTTTAAAACATATTCATAATTAAGAAGTTTTGTATGAGTACTCGTTTTCAGCCTTGGCTTTAATCATATTTATGACTGCGCATACTTGGCGTATGCGCTATTTGTGTGGGTTTCTGTGTCAGTCAGTCACTGAATCGAATGGAGTCGAGGCGAACGATTTTGTGGCAAATACTTTTTTTAAATGCGTGAATCGCGAGCTGCGAGTCGTAAGTCGTCTGGACGAAAAAGTAAGCCATGAAAATCATATTAAAATGCTGTCGGTGCACAGTCCTACTTTTTTTTATAGCTGCTGTATGAAAGTTTTCGTCTGGCTGTGGCTGCAGCTCTCCATAGATTGTTGCTATTTCACTTTTGCTGAGCACACACCCTAAAATACACACACACAAACACACACACACAAGTTGTGTGTGCTTACATTGCTGCAGGCGCTTGCCAAATGCGCTTTGTGCTGGCACCATTGTCAACATGCTAGGGATATTTTTGCATTTTATTTTTTTTCGGCTCAATCAGCGAAACGTGTCTTGGCAGGAGGCCAGCGTCAGAGCCAGCACATGCAGGACATGCGCTGCATCGTCTCTGATTTTGCTGCTTAAATTATTAAAATAGCGCAGAAACTTGCACATAAATCACATAACTGGCCGACGGGACAACCTGGCGTATGCGCAACTTTAATACAAAGCTCGGCCAGAGGGTGGCTGGGGAGCTCGAGGCTTAAACTTTGTACCGAAGCGGGGCCCATAACTTCAGAGCAAGTTTAATGCAGCATGTAAATATTGTCGTGGCACACGAAAACTTTCACTTTGCTTGCCTTTTGTTGACAAGCCTCGAGGACGAGGATGAGCACAGTCAAGATAGGATGTATGGTACAGTGAGAGGGTGTAAGAGAGAGAGTGGTAAATTTATGTGCGTTGGGATATGTCGACACGTGTGCTGACCGAGAATGAAAAGTTTTACAATTAATTTGAATAGCTGATGAGCCATACGAGTGGACGCTCTTTAAATCGATAGCCAAACAAAACAGTTGATGAGTCGCCCGATAAAAACACACTGTGCCAGCTGTTTAGCCACTTGACTGCTTAACTACTTAACGGGCTTGGCTATAAGCAACTGAGAGTGCTTTCAAAGTCAATTGTTTGCCGAGACTATCATATTACACAGAGCCAGATACCCAAGGGCCAAAGAGTAAAACAAGTGAGGAGTATGCTAGAAACCAGTTACCTGATTTGCTAAATACTCTGTAACTGTGCCGTGGCACTCGTTCGATTAACAAATACAAATTTGATAGTATGGAATACATTTTACATAAGCTTCTCTTTTTAGCTTCAGACTAAGAAAGCTACTTTTTTGCGTAACTCCTGTATTTATTTCTGAAATGGGTTTGAATTAGATAGGGTATACAAACAGATTAAATAGAAAATATGCATTGATCAAATATCAAGCGAGTAATTCTTAATCTGACCCAGTTCTTGAAATATTGTAGTAATCGCTAGCAGTTCCAGTGGGCATCAAGATGTATTCAAAATATTTGACCTGAACATTAATTATGAAACTGCTTAAATATATCGGACAAAAAATTATCGAAACACTTGTATAAGAAAATCCAAATTTATAATTTCTAGTTCTGATGTTATTGAGGGAATATCGATTAAAAACACAAAGTTATTGATTTGAGTGTGTCGATGGCAGCAACCGAGAAGTTTAAATAGGTTTGGTTAAATTTATTGTCCTTTTATAATCTTAAGATCCTTTAAAAGGGGGCTTGTTATCGGATGCGGATGAACAATATTTAAACAGAATGTATTACAAAACTAAATTAAATCGGTTTGCTTGTACGGGGTATAAAAAAAAAAGAACAACCAAAAAAAAAAAAAACAGTAGCGAAAGGCAACAGAAATCAAAGCGGCAGCTGTAAGCAAATAATCCATCACTTGAAACTTGAAACAATAAATTTCCCACAGCTGCCGTGCGCTCTCCACGTGGGCGTTGGCAAAATATGGGCGTGGCAATTGGCTTTCTCACTCGCTCGCTCACTCACTTGCTGGATAACTCGCTCAAACCCTCGCCAAGCTCCTGCAACCTCAACCAGACAACACTTGAAGTGCTTGCCTAATCAGGTTTCAAATGCCTCGGCACATATACACACACACGCACACAGACTCACAATAACACCCACACACACACACACTCGAATTGCGATTGTTGATTTGTGATTGCGCTTGTACAGTAAAGTAGCAGGTGCGACCAGGTAGGTTGGTAGAGGCTTATGTGGGGGTTTTTCGGATTGGTAATCAAAGCTGCTCGGGGCTTAAAATCTGCGCTTTGATTGTAGTTTCGTTTATAATGAGGCAAGTCGTTGGCTTCTCTGGCGGCACTTTTTATTGACGCATTTGCTTTTTAGTCTAGACAGTTCGCATGTTCTTTATTTTCTATAAAAAATGTTTTGTGTGTTGCCAGCTCGAGTTTCCGTTTAATAAAAGTTTCTATTGACTCTTCAACTTAACAAATTTGAGTGGCGAGAGAAGCAGAAGGATTGAAATTGAGTCAGCTTGATCGTAGTTGGAGGCTTAGGTGCTTGTATGTTTGAGTTGAACGTTTGAATAATATTTTAACAAATCTCTAGGTAGATATATGATGATTTACATTTCATGCAGACTGATTGATAAAACATGATTTCTTTGATTCTATTTAGTATCTTTAAATTTTAGGCATCAATAACAATTATTGTCAATGGTTAGAGGCTTTCCAAAAGGAGCTAGCTTCAGCTATATAAATAAACCTATGTTGACGAATAATTATCGATACAAAGGACAATCAAATCGGTAATTTCGGATGTGTATGGAACAGGCAGAAGAAAGCATCTTGATCAGGACGACGACCTGAGTCGATCTAATCATATCTGTCTGCCCGTCAGTTTGTCGGACTGTCTGATCATCGATCTCAAAAACTACACTATCTAGAGACTTCGAAATATATTTTCACTTATACGCTCTTGATTTCGAGATATTACTATTATGCCGATAATTATCGATTTCGAGACGTGTTTTTTAAGCATATCTGAAGTCGTTAACTTTGTGTGTAGCTAAAATTTATGTAAAATAAGATCACTTTACTTTTTGGCCAATATTGGAAAAACTCATTTTGAATGATAGATGAATAATAGAATGTTTGTTACATATGCACTTTTTCATGCCATTTTTATGACCTGAAAATTTCATAATGATCTGACCTAACACACCGAAGTTAATCAAGAATGCATTTCTCATAGTTTTATGGCGTGCGTGCTTTGTACAAAAGTATGTGTGTAAGGATATCTTCGAGTCTCTTAAATCGAATAAATCTTAATAGTCGCTTGGCAAGGTTTTTTGAAATCGTTTCAGTTACAGATTCTACAACAAAACAAACCCAAGTGAAAGCAGCTGTTAAGATACTCTCAGTTTCTGATTGCTGTTCTTTGAGCACATCCTCTGCAGTTCCCAGTACTTGACATGTTTGGCATCAGTTTCTGCTGCTGTAATTCTCGAAATT